TCAAGGATGAGTGAGGAACCTGGGGTCAGCCAACCTCGGTGGGCTCTTGTGGCTCTTTGTCGGCTGATGCGTATATGTCTATATGCCTACAAATGAAAATAATAAATATATATGGTTCCCCCGATCGCGACGGCCCCGCATTTTTTTAAGACGTTTTGAGTTGGTCAGTTCTCACAATCACAACCAAATATTTTGCGTTGAATGGAACTTGGCCATGAACTTAAAAATACATACATATAACTATACATCCAGAGACAAAAGGCTGAGAGCACATAGTTTCGTAATACAAAGTGTGGCATTTTGAATCTCCACGATTTTTGGCAAATAATGAATACTAATAAAAACTAGGTGTCATCAACAAGAAAATATCATTGAAATGGAAAAGGAAGAAATACAGGACAGAAAAAAGACCAGTATAAATGCGAGACTTATTTCTTTCTTACCTCTGAGTCGATGCTAAATAAAACCTTATCATATCGTATAATCCCCGCGTGTAGGTCAGATCAACCACGAATCGCTACGGCTTGGTTTAAGCAATGATGCACAAGGAAAAGGCTTTTGGAAATTAAATTGCTCCCTGCTTACAAATTTGAACCATCTAGATCTGGTCAAAACTGAACACGCATCACGCCCTCGTTTCACTCAAGCATGCAAGCGAGCTGAAGCAAACAGGCACCACACATCACGCATCAATTATACATGCAAGCGATTTCAACTAAACAAGCATTGCGCATCATGCATCAGGCGTCACTTACACATGTACACGATTTAAGCTATCACACATTACACATCAAGCCACGTTTCACGTTCGCATAATCAGCAAATGATGAGACCTGTACGTTGAGATTTGGTCGCCGACTTTTTACAAAATCCTGGAAGGTATGGACCATATGCCCCTTTTAGAGCTCAAAGTTATCTACAGAGTACGGAAGTACTCAGACAGGAAACTAAGTGAATGTTTTCTTATAAAAGTCGACGACCAAACCTCAACACACAGGGCTCATCATGGCCGATTATGTAAACGCAATATGTGCCATGATGCGCGATGCCTGTTTAATTAAAGTCGCTTGCATGTATAATTGATGCTTGGTGTGTGGTGCCTGTTTACTTCAACTTGCTAGCGTGCTTGCATGAAGCGTGACTCATGATGCCTGTTTATTTGAATCCGTGTGCATGCACACGTATTTTCGCGTTTTTTAATTCTTAGATACGTACTGTATTGTGGTAATGACTGGCAATTGCTCCTTGTTTGGTTCCTGGGTGTTGGTGTCCAAAAAAACTGTGGCTTGCTATTTTAAAATAGAAAAAAATCGAGTACGATCATCGGCAGGTCGTTTTGAATTCACTTCTGATATTCTTTCGATTGAAGCATTTTGCCGAAATGTCAAGGCATTGACATTTCCATTCGCCTGATTTTTCTCCGAAGAACAAGGCTATTACTACTGTGTTATCTATGTGAACACCGTTCCTCGCGCATGCACTCAACAACGTACGTGAAATACTCAGGTAGTATATGGTGTGTTGTCGGATGTGTACACAAATGATAAAAAGGAATCCTACTTTTCCGTAGTTTTTAAGTCTACATTTAACACGACGAGTTGGAACGTTATATATTACTGCTTACAAAAGCTCAATTTCGGCACCAATGCTCATAAATGTTTTTCGTTGTTCGCACAAACATACTGTTTCCTCACATTATCTTCAATGACCACTCGTCGAAACACACAATACGTCTGGAGAAGGGTTGCAGACAAGGGAGACCCCCGCACCACGCCATTTTTTCAAAACAGGTCCTGAAATTCGGCCAAGTTTGAATCAGACAGAATAATACCATTCGAGGATTTATATTAAGCGAAACACCCGTTAAAGTCATCCAATGCGCCGATGATAAAACTTAAGGCATTTACACGTGCAAAACACATACCCTGACGTTAATTTGAACATTGATGTGAATGTGTTAAAAGATCATGAGATGATATTTCTCGATATCTGTCCGGACATGGCTTGGGACACTTCAGCAACAAAGTAAGAGTATTCGGCGACTGCAGCAGTAAGTTACAACCCACATCGTCACAACTGCAAAATATGTCATATGCGATGCGAGGCGTCGATATATTCACCCGTACTTCAATTACTTTAACACATTGTTCAAGCGAGACTTTGACACTGAAAAAATACATAGCAGAGAGCATGGTAAAATGAAGAACTAAAGAAAAAGTAAATGTTTCATCGGGAAATATAAATTCTGTCAATGAATAAAAGACCAGACAAAGCTTTCGGCAAGATTGTTAAAATCATCTCTATTCTTCCAACAGCGGATTTTGTGCCTTCTCTCCTCAACGTCCCCCTAGCCATGCTATTCGCTCAGTCTCTCAAGCGTGCCGTTCGGTCCTGCCGCGCCTGGCCGACTGGCGCTCTGGCCCGCGCCACTACGCACCCCGCAGTGTGGCCCTGTCACTGCTGCCGCTGCCGCCTCGCACCTGTCAACATGCCCTTCCCCTCACCCCCCCCCCCCCCCTCGACTTTGCTGCCGCCCCCTCTGCCGCCATAGCTGCCGCCGCCGCCGCTCCCGCCAACTGTGTGAAGCCGCGCTGGGTCACACGCTCGTGCCGGAATCTCGTGAAATGTCTGTTTCGTACAATTGTGTGTCTGTAGCTGAGTGAAGGATGTCGCAATGTGATTGATGTTCGTTGGTTTCCTGTTGTTGTGTAGCTTGTGTCTTTCGCCGACGATATCATTAGACCTGCAGCGCAGATGATGGGACAGTTTTGCTGAAGATGTGTAGCTGGTAATCGTCGGCTTATGGAACTGCAGAATTTGAATTACGCTGCTATGTCGTCATAAATGCCAAAGTGACTTCGAAATACTCTCCTCGATATACCTTTCCCAATTTTTGCGGGCGTGTAGCTCGAAAAACAGAGGGGCTTTGGTCTTCAGAAGGGCAGGACCTGTAACAGCACCAAAAAGCATTTAAGATGACTATGTTAGTTCAAAACCTCACATAAATGTGGGACGCCCCCTTTAACTTATTCGATTATTACAAGTCATATTTCCGTAATAAATAGGAAAAATGTCCAGTTTCTTATACCATGCCGAACAAAACGCAATTCGTGATTGAAATTTGCACAGATTGCTCAACGTTGATGGAGAGCAAATTGATGCCCATAAGATTTGGAAATCACGCTCACGGACGCTGGATCTCAACGGCCGGACGATAATATTACTTGTGGCATTGAGCGCAGCCTGTTGCATGGGGTGACAGGATTTGAATGACGTTGCTAAGGCGTCGTGCACTTGCATTAATGCTTTCAAAATAGTCTCCACAAAATAGGCTGCACATCTCGCAGGCGTGCAGCTCAGAACTATAGGAAATATTTGTTAAGAAGGGAAGAGCTGTGAACTGCACCGAGTAATCTCAAACTGCTTCTTTAATTTTCAAACCCCATACAAATGTGGAACTTTACATTCATTAAGTTTTTACGCTCAGTGCAGTAGATTATTGATGTACGCAGTGCGTTCGCTTAGCGGCATTCCATGTGCAAGACATTGAATTGACACTTAGCGGGGAGATTATCTCCATGTAGTTTTTCACTTTACACTTATAATCAGCCGAATTTGTTTTTACCATTTCGCCAGAATAATTATGTTTCAATGGACGAAGGTTTCGTGTGGGCCGCAGTTTCTAAAGACCACAAGTACTAATCTAATGTCGCAAGTATTGAAAACTGTCACTAGAGCCTCTGAAATGAGCAAATTGATGACCGTTTTGGTATTTGACACATACCTGGTGAAGCATTTTGTTGATAACAAGGTAGTACTGCCCACAAACATGCTGTGAACATTTCTGCTCAAGGGAGATGGCGTCGGCGTTTAAGTTGATGAAGGCGTCGCTCATGCCACACGGATCTGTGTGGCATGAGCGACGACTTTATGGCATGGCATGGCAATGTCATGTGCCACGCCTCACTACATGAAGGCTAGTGCAACGGTCAAAGCGGCGCACGGGCACACTGGAGGCTTGTGTAGGTGGGTAAATGTCGGGAGTGCGTGTGTGGGGGGGAGGGGGGGGGGGGGCGATACCGCGCATATTTGAAGGGGCACAGCGGTGGGTAGTGGCATGTGACAGTGCCGCCCCCGCCCCCCCCCCCCCTGGTCTGACAGGCATGAGATACTACAATATCGCAGCGAAATACTCAGCTCTGTAGAGCCTTCCACTTATTTTATATGCAATGTTTTCCCATCTCGCGGTTTTTAGAATGTTACGATCGAATAGGTATGCCCAAGACACCCACTGAAAAATGTTTTGCGTTATGTAATGTTATGAAAGAAGTTGTGTGTTAATGTAACGGGTGTCGCTCCATCACATATCTGCAACTGCACGCATCACGCCAAACTGAACGCCCTTGAGCACCATTATTTCTTCTCCGAGTAAACAAAACAGTACCCAATCCATTGTGTCTCAGTCGGACTAGTCATATCAAAGTCAACCAAAACTTAAGTGGCGTCTCTCGGCAGTCTCCCAGTCCATTCCAGTCCGCTTTGCTGGACGATCAAATTCCTCAACATCTCTAGCGACATTTGTGAATGCGAATGCCAGTCCACTTTACTGGACGATCAAATTCCTCAAAATCTCTAGCGACATTTGCGAATGCGAATGCCAGCCCACTTTATTGGACGATCAAATTCCTCAAAATCTGGCGACGTTTACGAATGTTACGTGATTTATTTGGGAGTGCGCAATCTGCATAGTCCCACTAACCACGACCAGGGCGCACGCAGTTCCGCCTGATGTCCTGCACAGTGCCGTGTTGGACACCGTACAGCCTCCTGCCAGCCTTTGACAGCCGGTGACATTCCCGCAGAGGTTAGAGACTCTGCGCACAGAAAATTGACGACAGCTATTGAACGTGTCAGGAGTACTGACGTTGCACTGTGGCCCTTCCTGGCTCGCCAGTGCGTATATAAAGTGGGCGGGGGCCTGGTTGGGCATCAGGTTTCTCTTCGGTCGCCAAACATGCGCCTGCTACCTCTGATCCTGCTGCTCTGTCTGGCGGTCTTCGCCGTCGAAGGTAGGTTGCCGCACACGCTGATAACAGGTTGTTGGTTCCAGTAAATAGAGGAGTTGAGAGCAGCAGCAAATGTAGTCTGCCGATATGGCGCGGCAAGTCCTCAAGTACAACACCGACTCTTGTCGGTTGTAGAGCCGCCCTGCCAACTCCGCGGGATGTTATGTCTTGTCTCCTCCGAAACCCAGAACGAAAATACGGTGTGCGTGAGAGTGAGTTCATATAAGTGCGCCACAATACGCCCAGGAACTAGGTACGGGCTCGGCAACAACAGCACGGCAAAAGCAGCCGGTAGAACCGCGCAGTGTGTCGTGTGACGGATTCTCCCTTCCAGGCAGAGGCAAAAAGGGCTTTTGCGGCAAGGGTGGCCTCTGGTGCCCCAAGGGCCAAGTCTGCAGACCCTGTGGCAGGGGAAGATGCTGCCGGCCCGTAAACCGTGAGTACTGCATGGGTGACAGACGGTATCCTATTGATGCGCATGTCTCCGCGTTGCATGCAGATGAACAACACCGCCATATAATATCGCTGTCGGTAAATAATATCGGTATATAATATCGACATAAATGACGGCATTGACATCAATATATTTCATTCCATTTCAAATCGCATTATCCAGTGAACGAAATGCTGATACCAGGTAGAACTGAGGCTCAGTGAGGCAAGTGGCAAACTATAGGCTCCAGGTGACGTGTGTCGGAGCGTCGTGCCCACTTATGCTGGCCCACCTGGCCACTTATCGAGCCATACTAGCCGCGATGCCCACTCTATTTCAAATGTAGGGATGCAACGCGTACTTATGGTGCGACGCAATCGCAGCATAGTCTTGCCAGGGCATGTATCTCCAAGAAAAATCAGCAAAATCAGCCCCCGCATTTGACGACATTTTCCCTGGCCTCCTCTTATCCCACATCAAGTGGGGTGAGAGGAAGACGGGGAAAGTCACCAAGAAAGACAGGGAGCGTGGAAATCACATTTCCCCGGTGGTTTCGACGCTCGCTCTCACCTGGACATGCTACAGCAGCAGCTGTCAGCCGTGGCTCAGTTTCACGGTCGCCCCGACGGAGGCTCCGTCAGAGCTCTACGCAAACTTTTAGGAAATCTGACTGTGCGGGGCCAGGCTTGGTGGCGGAGGTCACTCACGATACCCGCGCCACCACCCCACTACCCTGCCTCTCTGCCTAGTCCCATAGCCCTAAAATGGTCAAAACTGACCGACAGGGCTATTATCCCCCGATCCCGATAAAAACATCGATGGTAAAATTTTCGTGTGTGCGCCCTGGGTGATTTTTAAAAAAAAATTGATCGAGTGCGCGAGCCACAAACGTACCCCGCCAAAGCGACCAGCGGCGTTGTTCTGAATTCGATGTCAGGTAAACCCTCGGCCATCCTGTGGCTGGTAACAAAGGAGAAAAGACGCCTTTTCTGTCATTAACGTAATTTGGCACCATCTGAATTGTCACCTGGAGCCAAAAATTTCACAAACCGTTGGAATACAACTCTATATGCGATATACCACAAGAACGGAGACAAATTAAATGAAATGCGGTAAACCCATCAAACATTTTCGTTTTGCGAGTTTATTTGCACGAAAGTATCATGTAATGGCCGTAAAATACTAAACGATGATTGAGAGTTGACTAACAAAAGAATGAGATAAAGGCCTCATTGACATAACCAGTCTAGAGATGTGTAGTTTCCTGTCCATTTGAGGGAGGGTGGGATTGTGCCCCCAAACCAATGGTGAGGCTGCCTATTTTCAGTTATTATCTATCTATCCATAATTTTCACTTTTTATACCTTGTATGGTTTAGCCCCCAAAACTAATTTTGAGAAACTACAACCACTGCTCCCAAGGCAGTGAAAAGAAGCGCATCAAATCTGGGGAAAAACTTATTTGAATGCATTTCGGAGGCAGTTAGCCATGTTTTCCTACTTGCATCCTCTTAATTCAACCTACCTCTTCTGTCAAAATCCTCTTCACACGACCCTCCCTCGCTTAACCCCTACGTATTTTGGAAACTGCATCCCTGGAGACTTTCATTTACCCGAATCATGGTTCTACACAGCCTGGAGACAATATCACCTTTCGTTTTGTGATATCGTACAATCAGCTGGAAACGAGGGCAACCTTCACTGTCTTTGCATAATCGTTACCGGTGCAGAGCTCTCGCCCTTCGAACATGACCCTAACTATTTGCAATAAAACCCATGTAATCTTGGTATCAACAGAAAATCAAATACTTTTGGTCACTTTTAGCACCTGATCATCTTTATGTGCAATATGATGAGAATGAAAGTGTTTAATCTCATGCCTGTCCACTGATCAATACGCTAAGTATGAGGTGCAAACGGGCAGTGTGAGAGTCCGTGCCAGCGACGCTTGGCTTTTTACCTCAAAGCCGCTGTTCCTCTCAGCAGCAAGGGCCCCGGATGAAACGCTTACAGGAGTCGCCCCACGTTCCTCCGTTACCACGCAGCACGGCTCATTATCCACAAACAAAAAAATCCTCATAGATCAGCAAAAAACCTTTAACGATATGCGCTTTAACGCTTTAACGCTAAGCAGTGCTTCGAAAAACAAATGGAGCAGTAAAAGCACCGATCGTTGTTGCAGTGGAAACTACACCGCTACCTTGCCTTGCACTGCGAAATGATAACGAAGAGTTGCCATATCAAAGTGACCTATCGGTTGCATTAATCCTGAGCATTTCGCTGTTGTAACATGGATGCCTTCACACACCAATGCATGTGGAGGAAAATGCCCAACACGCGACATCCTGTAACTGTTGTCCTGTAATGGTTGTCCTGTAACTGTTGTCCAACCTGTAATGGGTTGTCGAGTCTGACGGTGGCCCTACGCTTCAGTTGCCTGCGGCAAGCCGGGAGGCTTCTGGTGCCGTAAGGGCTACTCCTGCCAGTACTGCAAAGGCGGCAGATGCTGCAAGCCCAGTGAGTCTTGGGGCGGACGAGCGCTGTTGGGCTATCCAAGCATGATATGTGTTCTCTCGTGTCGAAATGCAATTTCATGATGCTAAGGTTGAACATAATGTAAATAACGTGCGTTGCAATTGCCACGTCCGATAAATATTTGTTTTAAGTAAACGCATGGATCCACAGTGTATGCCGTATACATACATTGCTTTCAACTGTTCTTAAGTTGTGATGTGTCGAATAGGTGAACTTTGCGTCCGATCTTCCAAAATTAGATATTGCAACACAACCATAACGTCCAAGTAAAGTTCTATGCGATTGCGATCTGGTGATAGTTGGGATTAATGCTGATAGGACTAGACCTACATATTTTATTTTATGGGCTCACGTAACAGCACAAATCGCTCCACAGTGCGCTATGCGCAGCATATGTTTTTACATAAATTGATTCTATGGGTTGTTTTCGCATTGAATTCCCTATTGCCTGCAACGAGCAGCATGCGCATTTGGCACGAGGTCAGTCATTTATGGCACAACAAGGATTTGCACAAAGCATCGACTATCAGTACTTCGAAATCAAAGGGAGCAGTAAAAGCAGCGAGTCGTCGTTGCAGTGTGAAAATGCACCGCCTTGCACTGCGGAATGATAAAGAAAATTGCCGTATTAGAAGTGACCTATCGGTTGTATTAGTTATGAGCATTTCGCTGTTGTAACATGGGTACCTTCATACAAATACGCATGTGGAGGAAAATGCCCAATACGCGACATCCTGTAACTGTAATGAGTTGTCGAGTCTGACCGTGGTACTACGCTTCAGTTGCCTGCGGTAAGCCGGGAGGCTTCTGGTGCCGTAAGGGCTACTCCTGTCAGCGTTGTGGACGCGGCAGGTGCTGCAAGCCCAGTGAGTCTTGGGGCAGACGAGGGCTGTCGAGGGCTGTCGACCCATGATGTGTGTTACCGCTTTGAAAGACAATTTCATGATGCCCAGGCTGATTGTGATGTTGATGGCGTGCGTTGCAGTTGCCACATTTCTTTGATAAATATTAGTTAGCGGGAAGAGGATACATCCACAGTGCGTGCTCTATCTACAGCGTTGCTTTCGACTGCGCTTATTTTGTGATGTGTCGGATAAGTGCATTTTGTGCCATATCTTCCAAAACACAATATCGCAACACAACCATAATGTCCAATCCAAACTGTATGCGATGGTGATCTGGCGATAGTTGGCGGTTGATAGTGACGAGGCTAAACCTACATATTTTGCTTGATGAATTTAGATAAAAGCACAAATCGCTCCACAATGCGCTATGCGCAGCATCTGTTTTTAAAGAAATGGATTCTACGGGTCGTTTTCACGTTGAATTCCTTATTGCGTAAAACGAGCGGCGTGCGCATTTCGCATGAGGTCAGGCCTTTATGGCACAACAAGAATTTGCACGATGCATGGACTATCAGTACTTCGAAAACAAAGGGAGCAGTAAACGCAGCGTGTCGTCGTTGCAACGTGAAAATGCACGGCCTTGCACTGAGGAATGATACTGAAAATTGCCTTGTTAGAAGTGACTTATCGGTTGTACTACTAATGAGACATTTCGCTGCTTGTTGCATGAATACCTTCATACAGCAATGCATGTGGAGGGGAAAATGCCCAGCACGCGACATCCTGTAACTGTAGTGAGTTTGTCGAGTCCTGACTGTGGTACTACGCTTCAGTTGCCTGCGGCAAGCCGGGAGGCTTCTGGTGCCGTAAGGGCTACTCCTGTCAGCGTTGTGTGGACGCGGCAGGTGCTGCAAGCCCAGTGAGTCTTGGGGCAGACGAGGGGCTGTCGAGGGCTGTCGACACATGATGTGTGTTACCGCTTCGAAAGACAAATTTCATGATGCCCAGGCTGATTGTGATGGCGTTGTTGCAGTTACCACATCTCTTTGGTAAATATGTGTTCGCGGGAAGAGGTACATCAACAGTGCATGCTGTATCCACAACATTGCTTTCAACTGCTCTTATTTTGTGATGTGTCGGATAAGTGCATTTTGCGTCATATCTTCCAAAACACAATATCGCAACACAACCATAATATCTAATCCAAACTGTATGCGATGGTGATCTGGCGATAGTTGGCGGTTGATAGTGACGAAGCTAGACCTATATATTTTGCCTGATGAGTTTAGATAAAAGCACAAATCGCTCCACAGTGCGCTATGCGCAGCATATGTTTTTACACAAATGGGTTCTTGGGGTCGTTTTTGCATTGAATTCCTTATTGCGTGCAACGAGCAGCGTGCGCATTTCGCAGTGAGGTCAGGCCTTTATGGCACAAGGATTTGCACAAAGCATGGACTATCGGTACTTCGAAAACAAAGGGAGCAGTAAAAGCAGAGTCGTCCGCTTGCAACGTGAAAATGCACGGCCTTGCACTGAGGAATGGACACTGAAAATGACCTTGTTAGAAGTGACTTATCGGTTGTATTACTAATGAGCATTTCGCTGTTGTTGCATGAATACCTTCATACCACTACGCATGCAATGGAAAATGCCCAACACGCGACATCCCGTAACTGTTGTCCTGTAATGGTTGTCCTGTAACTGTTGTCCAACCTGTAGTGGGTTGTCGAGTCTGACGGTGGCCTACGCTTCAGTTGCCTGCGGTAAAGCCGGGAGGCTTCTGGTGCCGTAAGGGCTACTCCTGTCAAGCGTTGTGGACGCGGCAGGTGCTGCAAGCCCCGTGAGTCCTGGGGCAGACGAGGGCAGAAAGGGCTGTCGACATATGATATGTGTGTTATGGTTTCGAAAGACAATTTCATGATGCCCAGGCTGATTGTGATGTTTATGGCGTGCGTTGCAGTTGCCACATTTCTTTGATAAATATTAGTTAGCGGGAAGAGGATGCATCCACAGCGCATGCTCTATCTACAGCGTTGCTTTCGCCTGCGCTTTTTTTGTGATGTGTCGGATAAGTGCATTTTGTGCCATATCTTCCAAAACACAATATCGCAACACAACCATAATGTCCCATCCAAACTGTATGCGATGGCGATCTGGCGATAGTTGGCGGTTGATAGTGACGAGGCTAAACCTACATATTTTGCTTTATGAATTTAGATAAAAGCACAATTCGCTCCACAATGCGCTATGCGCAGCATATGTTTTTTTACAGAAATGGATTCTACGGGTTGTTTTCGCACTGAACCCTTTATTGCGTGCAACGAGTTTTTTTAACGTACTATGCGCATTTGGCACGAGGTCAGGCCTTATGACACAACAAGGATTTGCACAAAGCATGGACTAACTGTACTTCGAAAACAAAGGGAGCCAGTAAAAGCAGCGAGTCGTCGCTGCAACGTGAAAATGCACCGCCTTGCACCGCGGAAATGATAATGAAAATTGCCGTATAAAAGTGATTTATAGGTGCATTAGTTATGAGCATTTCACTGTTGTGACATGGATGCCTTCACACAACAATGCATGTGGAGGAAAATGCCCAATACGCGACATCCTGTAACTGTAATGAGTTGTCGAGTCTGACCGTTGTCCTACGCTTCAGTTGCCTGCGGCAAGCCGGGAGGCGTCTGGTGCCGTAAGGGCTACTCCTGTCAGTCTTTGTGGACACGGCAGGTGCTGCAGACCGAGTGAGTCTGGGGCAGACGAAGATTGTCGACTATGCACCAGTCAGTGATGTGATGTGCTTGAAACAGGAGAAGCTCTTCGACAAGCAAATGCAGGACAATTGACATGTGTTTTTTGTGCCAAACGGCAATTTCATGAAGCTAATGTTAAACATGTTGTAGATGACATGCGTTGGAATTACCAGGTCTCTTTAATAAATACTCATTTAGAAGTAAAGGCATGCATTTATAGTGCATGCACTATCCACAGCATTACCTTCAGCTGTTTTTAAATTGCGATGTGTCGTTTGAGTGTTTTGTGTGTCATGTCTTCAAAAACTCAATATCATAAACAACCACAGTGTCCAATGATCCCTATGGCACAGCGAGCCAGCATCTGAGGTGACCTGATTGGGTAATTACCCTTTTTCAGTCAATACTTGCAGATATGTCAACCAGAGTTGCGGTAAAGGTCGCCGGTGCCTCCCCTGCGGACCGTTCAAACGTCTCTGCTGCCAGCGCAGGGTCTCGCTGTGTAAGACTGAGCATCCACTGGTTGCTGGGAGCAGTACATCAGCACATGCACATGAATTGTGGCGTTCCGTGCCCCATCATTTCAGCAGTCTTCATTCAACTCGTTGGCCAAGCCACCCCCTTGTAGCACAAGTCCATGACAGCGCAATCTGTCATATTAAATACCATTGCATGCCTGCACCATTACGACCCCTTGATCCTCGAAATATATCTTGACCCTTGAGATACATCTCGCGTCCGTTGGCAGTTTGTAGCTACTTGCATAATCGTGTTTACCTTGTCTGATTACGGAGCTTTCTATTTGTTCACATTCTTCAGATATTGCCAGTACTATCGAGCCGCACCCGTAGCATTCGTTGTCGAAGACATCCCATCGAAATTGAGCCGAGGACACACCAATAGGCCTGACAGTGGAGACGTGCCCATAACGCAAATTGACTAGAGCAAATCTGAAATGGATTTGATTGAACTGGGTCTGCGTCATGGCTCGTTTCGTCTTTTTGCAGTGTTATCTGTCTCTCAATATGTAATCACGCTTTGCCTTGACCATTGCGTAGTGTTATGTCGATTCGTTGTGTCCTTGCATTCTGTTAGTTCCCTTACGAAATGGCAAAATTGGTTCAGTTCTATTTCCGAAGTTCCGCTACATCGCAAGTGACCATGGAATACGTCACGCTTACAAATGCCGCGTATCCCGTTTTAGACGAATGCCAACGGCGTTGCCGGAAGCCCAACCACTGCGTCAAGTGCAAGATTGGCTACTGCTGCCGCAAGGCCTGCTATGGCAAACACTGCAAGCACTAACTGTTACTGGCACCAACTGCAACAGACTTCAACAACAGAACAGCTCGACAGATATGGCGCTAAAGCAACGACACATTCAAGAATATGCGTTTTGGTCTCATTTGTTCAAAAAAATGCGCTATAGTTGCTTCTGAATAAACCTATTATCATTCGTCCGCTTCTTGAATGCTGACAGGTCCGCCATGATGTACTTTTTGTGTTGGGGACGAAGGCAGTTGCAAATAGTAACAAGATTTGACGACATTATCCTCTATATGACAACCATAAATGATACTGCGGAAGAGCATAGAAGCTAAGATGCTTGTCGCCAGCAATGCTCCGTGATACTGCTTAGCAGAGCACTTCACGGATTGGGTCGGCCACAGATTGCGCATCAATCCGCGGACCGGATCGGACCGGATCAGGTATTTCCATCAAAACATGGATTAGGACCAGACCTGATTTTCAGACCAGGCCCACACACATTGCATGAATTGAAAACCATTGTAATGGAAGTAATCACTAAATAGTCCCTGAAATGTTCCATTAAGTGATCAACTCGGAACGAAAACATTTAGACTAAAAATTGCATTAGTTTCAACTCTAAGCCATGTATGGGCACGCTGGACAGCACACAATTCAGCTATAGATTACAAAAATAATGTTTTTGGTCAACAGATAACACCTTAAAAAGGTGCAACAAAGTTACTTTTCTCAGCAGCAAATATCCCTAGAAATATAAAAACCTCTATGTGTCTAACCACTTCAAGTCTTTAAATTCCTCAAGTCTTTTGAACGTAAAAAGTACTGGAAGACATTTCAACATTCTTAGATAGAGCTCTCTCACCCCATGCCATTTGTTCCATTGGAACCGGAACCAAGCCTAACTTCCGAAACAGCATTCGATGCTTCCTTTAAAAAGTCGCCTTCAGTGCCTCATTAGCTGTCAATTGCACCAGATAATTCTAGGATCGCGAGGTGATGCTCTACTTTGTGGTAAGCTTAGCCGGTCATCGTACTATGTCGTACTCGCTTTCTACCGGCTAACTATTACATCATTTCCGGAACCTGTGACCAGGAATCGTTTCCAATGTGGGTAGTAGGTAAGGCGCACCGTTGGTTACCATGTAGGTTAATACTCTCTCTGGGCTAAAAAGGAGCAGAACCACTGTTGATTGTGTGAGTGAGCATTGTGGTGTGAATGTTGGTGTGTGGAAGTGTGTACAAAATGGAGGTTGATGAGTTACCAAGATCTCTCTTTGACTGACTCTCGAGAAAGGCTGGCGCGAGCGAGGTCTACACTGGTATAACTATCACACCAGCAGTAAGAAATTGGGTACGCATTGGTGCCATGATCCGGATTCGCAAATATCCATTTGCAAGTCGTCAATCTCCAAGTTTTCTTAACCCATCCTGAACCTATCATTAAAAGCTTGAGCCAATATCTAAGTGTGTGAAAGGGTTTCTCACGCATTCTTATATGTTGCTACTTACTGATTCACCCGACTACATCCGCACCTATACCTTCTGAGGGTCAGCTTATTGCACAAGCTATGCAAAAAAATTGTACACGAAAGTGGGGTTCAAGGGCGTACACAACCCGTTATAATATTCAGCGAAGAGAGTCCGTCAAAATTTCAAGATTGGGCAAGGGATGTGGAGAGCATTTTTTGCACAACGGACGATGAACTCATGCGACTTTAAGCAACCCGTACTCCGAGTGGACCTGCAGGAAAACATGTCTCTAGGGTTATTGATAAAAATACACAAATAGGCCTGAATGGTCTCTGTACGTAATTGCATGAGAGAAAGATCCCTATTGCGTTTAAATGCAGTTGCGTCAAGTCAAACAGCATTCTGGAGAACTTGCGCTTTTTCAGGAGGATTCAGGCGCATGCATGCGAGGCTTTTCATGATGTGTCTAGTCCCGACGGGCAACGTTTTTCGGCGGAAATTTTCCAAAAAAGGAGAAATTGACGATACTTAGCCCGTGGTATCACCCGTTTGCAATTTTACACGTTTCAGGAAGCAGCTTTGCGTGTGCGGAGACCGCAAAAACCTACTTCACATTTAAAATGTGTAGAATGAACAATAAGTCCCACTGCGGAACCCGGGATATCGAAATAGTCCGCAGCGTACCTGGTTCTGGAATAGTGGAAAAAATAGGGGAGGCGCTTAAAGAACTAGGCCCAAAGTTGGATAGTCTCGAAATAGGTGTCAGCTTCAAAACGGAATTCGCATCCGTGCGTAACAAAGAGTCAAGATCAACCGCAAAATCGAAGATATACAACCCGAAATGGACCGCCGCGGAAACATCCATAAATTTTGCACAATCACGTCACTTTCAGCCGTCTCAACGGTCGGGAAAAGCAGCTTACCGCGACGGATTTTCACTCCATCTTCGTTTCAGCCTCCGCATCAACCTCCAAACTTGCAGCAAAACGAGCCTTATGATGCGCGTTCAAGTTATTAGTGGGTAAATGATGGTTGTCCTGCATGGCTATTTGCACAAAAATAGGCCGCTCTCAACGTAAAAGTCGTGCTGGAAACAATCCTCAGCGCTCTAACGTCAAAATAGTCCGGGAAACTAAGTCGGTCCTCTGTTCTTAGAACTGAGCAAAAGGAAGGCCAATGTGAAAATGGCTTACCTGGCAAAAGTGCGCGAATCTTTATAAAATCGAACACTCCTATATGCTGGACATAACTTGGTAATCGTAGAACGTACTCGCTGGTAGATAGGGGCGCGGACTTCCTTATCTCTCTTATTTTCCGTGAAGCATTTGACAGAACCTCGCTTGAAAATGTCTACGATTTTTCGACAAAAAACTACCCTCTTTCAATCCATTTTTGGACATAGCCTTTAAGCTTTTGGAATCGCTATTCTTCCTGTAGCGATTTCAAAGCTCCATAAAACATTCAAGTTCTAACTTGCAGAAGGTCCTAAAAACCACTGTGTTTTGAGAAATGATGTTCTCAAACGCTTTGGCGCAATTGAATTTTGGCAGGAATACACATGACATTCAAAATAGCATCATTCCTCCACGCCCTCCAAATCTGACATGTCAGTTAGTGACATCTTTAGTCCGGACTCCTCAGAGAGAAACAATTCTTGCGCAGTCTTACGTCAATTTAATTTCGTCAATTACGTCAATTAGCCAGGTTTCATCAACCGTGCACAGCTCAAAGAGCAGAACTGTTTAATCGAACCGCTGAGTAGCGCTCGCTGTCTCAGTGAACAGCCAGGTCTTTTTCCGATGAATCCCGTGGGGGTGTCCGGATAGAAATGGACGCGCAAAACCGTCCTGGTTAATACCACTACCAGAGACCATACTTTGCCAGCCCGACATGTTATGGGCATTGCTGAAACGTTACAACAAGCCGAATTGCGCACCCGTAGAAATAGATAAGGACTCCGGACATCAAAGGACCACTCTGGATCCTACTTCCAAGCTTCAAAAGGCCGATCTGTTACACATGCGTGTCTTTGAGGACAATACAAAGCGGTGTATGTCTTTACTGAGATGTGTGAAATCATCCGCACGTGTATCCCTATTCTCGAATACAACGGCGATGTGTTCGAGGGTGATGAAGAGCGAACCAACTGCCTAAATGAGCATTTCTCCCGAAAGTTTAGTGACCCTACAGTCAGGGCTCTATCCGGCCAGCCACTGTCTGATGCGCTTGGGCTAAACTGCTTTACCGTGCCACATGACCGGGTAGTACAACTGTTGCACGGTGTGTATGCGCAAAAGGCCTGTGGTCCTCATGAACTAAGCGTCAGGATCTTGCGGGAGTGTGCCGATGAGCGGCCGGAACCGATTCAAGGGGCATGCCAACTATCAGTTAGATCCGGCACCTTTTCTAACGAGTGGAAAGAGGCTAATGTGATCCCAGTGTATAAAAATGCACCAAAATGTTACCTGAAAATCATCGATCTGCATCGCTTCTGCCAATTTGTTCAAATATTTTAGGGGGTCGCTTATGATAGCCTGCTACCTGCTTCCCTACCGGTCGTACCATCATCCCAGTGTCGTTTCCTTCCGAAACGATCCTGCATCACCAACCTCTCCTGCTTTCTTGAACATTGCTGGACCTTAATTGCCTGAGGCAAACAGACTGACGTCATCTGCACGGATTTTTCCTCGGCGCTCATCAGCGTCAACCATATGCTTCTGTTGCACAAGCTTCGACACTCTTTCGGAATTACTTGTGTCGCGTACGACTGGCTTGAGTCGTACCTGACCGATCGCAAGCAGCGAGTCGTCCTGAATGGCAAGCAGTCTGACTAGGTTCCAGTCCTACCCGGCGTACCAGAGGACAGTACCTTACGACCGCTTTTGGCATCTTTTCTGGGGAACCTACCCAGTCGCATGGCAAACGAGTGCATCATGTGCGACGATGATGTAAAACTCCACGGATGTATTGAAAGCAGCGCAGACTGTGCCCCCGTCCAGTTGGACTTGAATCGTCTCCGCCACTTGTCCAGAACCTGGCGACTCGGCGTCAACCCAGTAAAGTGCAATTTCATTTCTTTCATGCTCCGGACCTCTCCTCTTGTCCATCAGTGCAAAACAGACGGTCACTACCTGTAAACGAGTGATCAGATCCGTGACCTCAGCCTTCTATTGGACGCAAAGCTCACTTTTGCTTCACATGTTGACGCTACGATCGCCATAGTTAAAGGAATGCTTGGATTAATCGTACGGGGCATGCAAATGCCGAGGTGCGCACGCCAAACGCGTTTCATCCACACAGCCTTGCTGTGCGCGTTCAACGCTCGTGTGAAAGCGGCAGTTGTGCACGGCAGTGTCATCTGGAGCGGGCTACCATCACACACCTAGCTCGCTTCGAGCGACTCCAGCACATATTTCTTATATGGATGGCTGCAAACACCCGGGATAAGTGCCCTTTTCTGGAATCTGAGTTTTCTCACACATTTTCGCATGCTATCAGTCAAGGCCCAATTCATCCAGTCGAATGTTTTATTCACGCACGACATATCTCGCCATCAACTGGACTGTGCTCAGCTGACCACACTGTTCGGGCTGGCAGCACCAGTAAGACGTCCGCGCCATACTGGTCTCTTCCACGCGCCGCTTGGAAGAGTCAGCACCGTAAAAACAGGATTCCCTGTCCGCATTTCCGTCACCTGCAGCCGCCTTCTTTAAGGTAC